CAAATTAACACAGTTAGCTTAAATTATGGTCAGCTTCGAGAGAAACGTTGCACGATGTAGACATACGATGTGACGAAATTACGTCAAGTAGATCGAATTTCCAAATGCACAAGGAGAGTATATAATAAGTCGCAACTCGCCAGCTTTCTCTCTCCCTCCCTCGCACGTTCGTCGCGAAAAAAAGCTTAAAATTCCACGGACCAGCGAGATATCTCCCGCGGGCGCAAACCACCGCCTATGATTAATAATCCGGCGGTGACAAAATTAATGCTCGCCATTCCGAGTGCTGTTGTAGCGGCGTAACTCGCCTATGGAAAAGCCGGAATGCGCGAGCGAGCGTGTGACAAAAAATCGCGACGCGAGATGGAATCGAGAGAAATCCCCGAGGCACACGCTCGTCGATTTATTGTGCGTGAAAGTTACCGGCATAATTTCAGAAAGTTTGAAATCGTTATACGTATATATTTATATATATATATGTGTGTGTGTGTGTGTGTGTGTGTGTGTGTACACGAACGTGTATGTGTGCGCGTATGAACGAGAGAGATACTTAATCTCGATCGAGAAATGTTAGATTAGTTCGGGTCGTATACGTTTGATCGGATATAGAGGGTTTGGTAATCCGTTTGCGTGACGCAAATAGAAAATGTTTGTTGCCTCGTCGCGGAGCGAGTGTCGATTTACAAGCGCGATTCTTTTCTCCGCGAACGGCTTGCGATTTTGAAATTATTATGCTCGCGATAAAAGTTTCGCCGCATGTAAGCGAGTCAAAGTTACCTTCGATATACATATACGCGTTAATCGATACACAACACACGTGTTCAGAGTTATACTTTGGTTAAAACTTTGACCATAAAACATTAAAAATCAAACGATTCCAAGAAAAAAGTTGTCCCTGCAAATCGATATAATATTCGCGACAAGAAGTCATAGGACTTTCTGGAGTACAGCCAACAATTGTCGAACATCCTGTGTGTACATACATACATACACTTCTTTTTTTTTTTTCTGTTGTAACCATGAATCATCGATATTCTGTGCGAGATAGATTTATAATATTTTTGCACATCTTCGCTCTCTTTTGTCAAAATAAACGACGATTAAAGCTGTACTAGGGGTCTATGCCTATCTACATGGAAAAAGGCGTAAGCGGTATATAAGCGGCGTAAATTATATATCTCCGTACGACGATGGAATGTCGTTAATTAAAAACGCAAATAGCGGTCGATCGATCTACTCGACATGGACGGCATACGGAAGATTAAAGGCCCATAAAAGCTATGTAGAAAAACGACGGCACCACACGAGAGTCGTCTAATAGAAACTTGGCTAATTTATCGAGGACGTAGAATCGTCAATTTAGGGTAGGTCGAGAAGGATGAAAATTAAAAATTTATTTATAACTACATAAATATTTATTTATATAACTTTGTGTTCCTTTGGTGGATGCATCATGAAATCAATATATGTATTATCAATATAATAAAATGTTTTCATATACGAGTATTTTATAGGGATTTATATTCATATTGTGTCTATGAGATTCTTATCACAACACAAATTTTGAGATTAGAGAGAGATAACACAATATTCTTCTTACTCTAAGAAAATATATTGCACATTATATATTGGTATTGTATATATAATATAATATACGTATATAATGTATAATATATTTTCCCAGAGTATAAGATATATTGGAAAAATATGTTAACTAAATGAATATAATAACATTTTTATTCCCGACTATAAAATGTTATATCCATATATTATTCATACTAATTAGTTAACATTCTTCCTTCGCTGAATAGATCGGCATAAAACGGAATAGATTAAGTGTACCGAGGGCAATTAAACAGAGCTTTGTTGTCTCCTAAAAAGGAAGCATTATACATTACCTATCTACCCTATCTCTGTTAAAAAAAATATATATATAAATTAAGCGGACAGTATTACGGTATTTCTAATGTCATCTGGAACATCTTCGCAAACCAACAGTTGTGGGAATGGAGATTTAGATTAAGACTTCGATTATAGTACTCATTATACGACGCGACCTAAGAAAGGTATTGTCGCACGGTCCGGGATATACGAGAGAGATCTCTCGAATCACCGCGTCTCTCGGAACAAAGTTAATTCTGGTGGTTTCTAATTGCCACTAATTGCACACGTATGCGTTCCATATGAGCGGAAGATTCACCGTTTCTCAAGAGCAAAGATTGCGTCGTAAATCCGCGATTATACCACGATGGCGGGAGATCGCACGAGCGTTCCAATTACTAATAAACGACCTAGACTTCGGTATAATTAACTAAAGCTTAATTCGGTCACGTTTCCGCGCCCGTTGAGATATTTTAGGTTAATATAGAATGTCTTGGAAGCGTCTAACTTGATCATAATGCTCGAATTTATCGTGCAATTTGAAATATCAAAACAATGTTATAGTGACTTGTAATAAAAGATGCAAAGTTTCTTAAATTAATATTTTGCAATTTATTCAAATGACACAATTTTATCTACACAAAATTCATCTTCTCTCGACAAAATTTAATGCGTTATAAGATTACACGCGATGCTTGTGTTTGTTAATTTTTATTTGGACGCCTCTAGAAAAATAGTTATTAAAAAACATTTGGAGGAGCTAATTTTACACTGGTACTTAGTACTAATACTTTGCTTAGTTTTTTTCAAAAGTTTTCTTGATAACCGTGTTGTAAACAAGATGTACAAAAATTTATCGATTAAGTTATTAAATTTTAAATAATTGGCTAGTGAAAAATTAACTCTTTCAAATTTTTTTAATAACTATTTTTCTCGAGGTGTGCAAATGAGAAATTAAAACATGATAAACATATGCAAGCAATGTTTGTAATTAAATGATGTATTAAAATTTAATTATTTCGAACGCTGGGAACTTGATCAATCTCACGTAGATCAAAATTATTGTTCGCTTAAATGTCAAGTGAATTTCATCAGTATTATGGATTTTTAATTATCAAGATGTTGAATGTTGAATAATGAACAATATACACATGTATCAAGTTTTTTTCTGAGGAAAAAACGCCTTCAAATATGAAAAATTCTGCTTATAAAACTTTAGTTTAAGACTCTTGTGACACCGTGTGTATTATTCTTCGTAAAACTTTCTTTGAAAGTTCTGTTCGTCGGAGATCTTTGTGTTATGCCGAACGAACGAAAAAAAAAAAAAAGATTGATACTTCGCGTAGCACTTCGGAACGAAGCAGAGTGACGATTTTACCGCATATAAAACGAAAAAAAAAAAAAACTACGTCGCGTATGTATGTATCGAGCTAAGCTGACAATGAGACGTTGCCGTCAGATTATCGATCGGCGCAAAACTTTTTCCTCGATTCGCTATATCTGGCCGGCCTGGAAACTCACTCGATTCGTAGGAACGACTGAGTCGTGTGACTATCTCTTTCAAACACGCCGAAAGGAGGGATTATCAGCGATCAACGATATGAAATATCGCGATTTTACTCCAACGAATTGACTTCCTACGCGGAAGTTTATCAAGTCATACGATTAACTCTGTTAATTACATTTTCCAGCGGAGAAGAATTTCTCGGCCAATCGTAAAATTGTGTTCGGTGTCGCGCGTAATTCTAGCGGCGAGCTTGAAAGAGATCGCGGCCAGAAATATCGCGGTGTTAATATTTAAGCTCTTTGAATGTGGCAGAAAGAGATTGAGTTTAGTCGAATTAGATGGGATTTCGAAAAATTGCATTAAAGTAGACACCGTCTCGTCTCAAGTTCGGTCTTTTTCAAAGTTTGATCGAAGTCACTTTGCAAACAAATGGCTCATTCGTTTGTTTCACGATTCTTTCGTAATTTTTAAAGAATGGCATTATTTTCGATAGGAAACCAGCGCCTTTATCTTGCTCGATATAAGAGAGCGAACCAAAATAACATCTTTATATTTTCGTCTTACATTTTATATTACCGTTTCGAAAAGTGGGTCGTGACGATCGTGACCATCCATAATGAGTTACTTAATATATAAAAAAATTAATCCCTGATTTTTTTTACGCTCTATTTCCTGCGGTATTGTAATCTCTTACAATGGATAAAATCTTTCTTCAAATATATGCCAAGACAATTGTTCATTCTTCACGAATTATTTCGAAATTTGATCTAATACATACAACAAAATTTAAACACAAGAAACGCATAGTAAGATAAACGTCCAATAAACTATAAAGACAGAGGATGTAATATTTTTATGAGAGTAATTAAGAAAAAAAGATATATAATATAAAATAATCCGATCTATAAACTAATTATATATTTAAATAACTTCGAAATATACATAATTAATCGGAAGAAATTTTACGGAAAGTTAAAAAGTATAGAAACATTTTTGATTTCTAAATCAAATGAATCTAGCAGCACTGACTGTGTTATTAATCATACTATCAAAGTCTTTGTGTACTCAGAGTTGTTTATTGTCTAGCTTTCTTTTACTGTGATTTAAAGTCAATTTAAAATGAGTGCTCTATTGTCTGACTGCGCCAAAGAAGAAATGCGAACAGTGATACGTTTTCTTCACTCAGAAAGAATAAAATCTGCAGAGATTATTTGCAGAACACAGCAGCAGATGAGAGTTGTTTAAGTTTAAAGCAAGATCAAATAATCTATGAACGGGTAGATCATTTTAAAAACGATTGGATTTCTCTCTGCGAAGAAAAACATTTAGGTAGACCTTCCACTTCAAAGATTAATATCGAGGCATTTGATCAAATGATTCGTGATGCTCGACGAATCAAAATTGATGAAATTGCAAATTGAATATTAGCCACGGCTCATCATTTTCAATTATCCATGAGTCACTAAATTTTCGAATTTCTGTGATTGCTAAATTCCACTTGCATGGACTTGATGGACTTGCAGAATTGTTTAGTTATTTCGAAAAAGCATTTAAAACGTTATAGAGATTTTGACACGTATTTTTTATCTTTTTGTTCCATTTTTGAAAGGAGAGCTGGGAAGACGAAAGTTTCATTCTGATGACGAAGTCGTTGAAGCGGTGCAAAAGTGGTTGCGCACAAAGTTTCTTCCAGGAATTCAAAAGCTCATTAAGAAGTGGACTAAGTGCATAGAAATGGGGGGGGGGGATTATGTAAAAAAAAACTTACATTTAACTTTTCTAAGTACAATTAAAAACTTTTTCTCAAATGTTTCTTTACATTTTGACTTTCCCTCGTATATCCTTTTTTTCTTTAGAAATTATCTCCTCGATTTATTACAATTTATTGGACACCATGTACAGATGTATTATTTTTTTAAAGATCAGAATCATAGTCCGCGACCATAGAGTCACCATAGAGAAAATAATCGCCAAACACCTTTTGTATCAGATCGTGTTCGGTTGCGCGATATCTGGCGCGTGCGGCGCCGATTGGAATTAATTCTCGCGGGACGCCGTGCACGCGCGAATCCTCCGGAATCGACGAGAGAGAGAGAGAGAGTGAGCGAGAGCATCTATCCATCTCTCAGCCCGCTCTCGGCAAAATACTCTTTCGGATGGATCATCGCACGATTCAATTTAGCGCGAGCGAATGCTGCGGATTCATTTGTGTACCGGGTGTATACAATGTACGCAGATGTAAATAGCATTTGGAAAAAATAGGAACATTGCTCTTTATTTCTCACATTATATTAATTTCGTTTTTAAATTTTACCGAGCAATTTATAATATATGTTAATAATAATATACGCAAGATATACGTGTACGCTAAAGAAAATAAGGCCTAAGATTGTTGCTAATATAATTTAATACCGTAATTATGGCAAATGACGGATTCAGCATTTCATTATAATATATTCTTATTTATCTTTTTTATTTCGCTCTTCTTCCTTCTCCTCTTTCTTTCATTTTCTTTGGTATATTCATTTTCTTTCGTCGTTTTCCCTTTGTTTTCTCTCCTTCAAATTATATTAATATTCACAGCGCAACTTTTAATGCTATAGCAGAATAAATTATTATTTTCTTTTAGAATAAATTGTTAATTTATTCCTTTATTCCATTACTTTTATTTCTGTTCTTTTTTTTTTTCTTATTCTAATCTTGAAAACTTTTTTATATTTGATTCTTGGCGATGCACATTTCACCGTTTCCATAGACCCTTTAACGTCACTGCATATACGATATTGTAGTTTCCGATCTGTGTCGAAACGCGCGCACGAGCTTCATCTCCAAAATATAACGCGTAAGCGTTTTAATTAAGGCACATGATGCCGGGACCGATATAGATATTCCCGGGTATCGACTGCGCGTCCCGAGAGCTGTCCATTAAAATATTCAGGATCTGCACTTTTTGGCGAACGCGAGAGAATCCCCCGCGTGTCCCCCTTCGCTGTCGAAAAATCAATTTCGCCGGTCGTGTGACGTCAGTGCATCGGATGAGGATTCGTCGGGATGCGTTGTCGTTCGTTCGGTTGTATGTCGGCATGAAACTTCGGGATTTAAATTTATTCCGCGGGGGTGTCGCTCGGGCGGTCAAAACCGGGGCGACGACATACTTTTTTTTTTTTTTTTTTTTTACTCGCGAGAGACCGCGCGTTTTTCTTAAGCGACATCGACACCAATCTCCCGAGAACGTTATTTCCCCTGTTTGTGCGAATAATTTATTCTTTGCAATATTTTAATGCAACTGCTTTTTCAACCGACATACAAGTCTTTTATACGAAGAAGGAATAATAATGAAGTTTTGCAACATTTATTTCTCTTTACAAAACTTTTTATTTTTATTTATTTTTTTTTTATTTTTTTTTTTTTTATAGACTTTTTGCAAGTTTTTTGTATCATTAATATTTTGTAAGAGAAAAATTCCGTTCATCAAGATAGAATTTTGAAGCTTACATTTAACATAAGGAATAATTGATGAATAAATTGAATATCCGTAAGAAACGATTTATATATAGAGAAGCGAAATCCCCACTTAAATGTAATCGACTTGTTATTTCATGACGTTCCAGTATATTCTTTCGATGCTTCGATATTTTATTTAACTTAAATAATCGCGTACCGATAGATATATATATATATATATATATATATATCGAATACACAAACCGCATATTAGGAACAGATGCTCGTTTATGTTGGCTCGCATTTTGTCGTCTGATTGGTTGCTTCGTGCAGTTATTTTCTCGTTGCATATGTGTGTATGCACATACGTACATGTCCATGTATATATTCTATATGTATACATATATCGCCAATATTACATTTTATTACTTATTCCTTTTACCTTACTTTTATTGTTTGTCGTTTTTCGCCCGGTCGCATCGAACCCACCCTTTTCCGCAGATCCTCTTCCACGATCGTCGCGAATTGGCTCGTTAAAAGCGAAACTTCTACCGTTTAACCAATGCCGGCACGCTATGCTATCCACGACGACAGAAAACCCGTAAGATTTATGTAAAAGCGCAACGTCTACGTCAGCTTTTGCGAGGCAATAATTCTCCTTCCATCGGTCACCCTGCGAAATGTATCTGTCGTCCCATCGAATTTCCGAAGCTTTCTCATCCCCCTTTCAAATTATGTTATTCTAAAAAGACACGAACCGTAAAACGCGATTATAAATAATTTTATTCGCATTATTTTCTAGCGTATCAAAAGAGTAGTCGATATCTTTTATAATTATGTAAAAATATATGTCCCCCCCCACCCCTATTTACGTGTATAATCCGTAGATTAATTTTTCTTGAAATCGGACACATTACAGGTATTTCCCATTCGCTGAAATGCTATATTAATTTCGCTTCCTCAATATTGTATTAATCTGTTTTCCGCGTCTTTCATTTTTAATATATAAAACGTATAGCTTACAGAGAGATACATGTCGGTATTCATTTTCCACATTACGTGCAATTAATAAAACGGTCGCCGGAAGTTACAAAAGAAATGCATGATGTTCGAGTTTATATTTACACGCGTTACCTCGCTCGTTGAATGTACACTCGGTTGCGATCAATGGCGCAAATTAATATCGCAAATTTAAAACGACGTTAAATGAAAAAGCGACGAAAAGCCTTTTGTCGCAACCTAATATCATAAAACCGCTGATAAAAGTAGCCGCAAGCCGGGCGTTCGTTTTATCATGAATATATATATATATAAAAAATATATACCCAGTGTATGTCCGCCGGCTCGATGTGCGTCCGACGTGTAACGTTTCGAGAACATCGCGATTAACACTCGCGGCCAACTCGTATGCGCTAATAAATGCATTCGCTAATAATTCACGGACACGCGAGCGATAATTCGCGCGCTATCGAAACTCGAGTCGATTCTCCTCGCTCTTATCAACTCTCTCGAGAATTTCAGAGACGTTTCTCGCTCTCGAGACGGCGTCTGTAAAATTTAATGAACCGCAGGATGTGTGTAAGAAGCTCGGATGGTCGTGATGGTCGAAGGTCGACCTAGACGAATTTATATAATATATATTCCGAGTATCGCGAAATATCATATAAAGTTATTAGAGTAGAAAATTGTAAGAGAGAGAGATCATTAATTAGCTTAATAATTTTAATATAATAATATAATCATATATAATTATAGCCGGCTTACAATATCTCGCAGGCTTTCTATCGTATGTTTTCAAAATGTTCTTATCGAAAGTTGGACACGCAGAAGGGAGAGACGCATCTTTAATGAAACTTTCTTGCTTCGCGTCTACATTTGTACTACAGTTTGGCCGAAAATGTCTTCATCTTCCGTATCTCCATTCGCGATATAAAATAATGCATAAAAGGTCGGCGGCAGTTTGCGATCACAAGAAGCAGGGATAGCAGAGAAGCGAGGTTGCGCACGATTGCTGTCGACGATACAACGAACGTACACGATGCGAGAGAGGGTGCCGAGGGGTGGAATGACGAAGGGGTGGTTGCGCGTTCGCGAAACGGAATAAGGGAGGGTGTCTCGACGGAGGAAGAGGAGACGGCAGTCGATGGTGGTGAGAGAGCACCCCGGCGAAAGAGGTGGCCGTGTATGGGTAGTGGTGGTATGAGCGAACGCGACGGTGGTGGAAAGGGATTGTTTGAGAGCATCGACGAGGCAGACGGGGCCACTTGCCTCCGCTCGACACCCCTTTACACACGCCTACCCGCCCTCTCTCTCTCTCTCTTTCCTTCTCTTCTCTTCTCTTCTCTGTCCTGCTCCCATCGTCGCTGACGTCACTAGGCGGTACATACTTTTAAACGAATAATGCGAATTGATTTCGCGATTGTCGTCGGCCCGATACGAGATTTTCTGCTCCCCTTTTTTCTTTATCGCGGGCTCTCGTACGGACGTTGATATGTATCGAGCGATTCTTTTTGAAGCGCTATAGAAACAGAATCTAGAGACAACGGAGAATTAGTGATGCAATATTTATTAAAACAGGAATCAATACCTCGTGAACAAAAAAAAGTGCGGCCATTGTGACCGCTCGCTCTTGAAATTGAAATTGCTTGAAAAGTTCTATTTAATATAATGGAATAATGTTTCGTGTATCTCGTATATAAATTTTAATTTTAGATTTTTTAAGATATGTAAAAATTATTTACGTTCTCGCGCGGCGCGTATAGTTAATCGTTAAAATATGAAAATATGATGTTGTAAGAACTATTGAAAATTTTTCTAATGAAAATCCATTATATACGGTTTTTGTTAAGAAGCCTAATTAGCATAAATACAGTGTTACAGTTTAAAGTCTAGCAAGCTTATACGTAATCAAAATATATATACGTACAAAAAGCTTCGAGTTACACATCGAATCTGCAAAGTAAGCATAATCGCGATTCTAAGAAATCGAATTTTTTTTTTTCTTTTTCTTCTTCTTCTTCTTATTCTTCTTCTTGCCGATGACACGGCGATTCGCCATTTCATTTCGCTTAACCGCGATATATTATATGCCACCGTCGACGACTGTTGTCAGTTACACGCGCCGCTAATTAAAAACGATACAAATCGTCCGACAGGCAAAAGTAAAGCGTCACGGCGATAACATTGTGCTACGGTCGAAAGCAATTAAATCGCCGCGTATAACATATCTACTATGTTACTACTCTACCGTGACTTCTCTCCACGCGCCCGCGCGCGCTCTCGTAGAGGAGCATT